CTCTCTCTATCTCTCTCTCTCTTCCCTCTTTCTCTCACTCTCTCTATCTCTCTCCCGCTCTCGCTATCTCTCTCACACATACACACAGACACACAAACAAACAATACCCCCCTACACACACACACACACTCTCTCTCTCTCTTTCTGTCTATCTCTCTGTCTCTCTGCCTTTCTCTCTCTCTCCACCCCTCTCTCTCTGTCACATTTTGTCTCACTTTCTTATACAGAGTATATATATATATATACACACACACACACACACACACACACAGGCACGCATACACATTTCTTCCTGCCATTTCCCCCATGACGCTCTTTACCTAACCTTCCCACACACTGTTTCACCTTCACACGTGTCCGTTCCGAAGGCACATCGAGATTTCAGTACCACCCACATCACTTTACCAAAAACAAATCAAGAAATAAGAGCAACACTTTTGACACAAACCAAGGAAACGTGGTGACGAGTGGAAAGGTATTTGAGAGAAGGCAAATACTTGGCAAAAAAAAGAAAAAAGAAGAACGTTTGTGGGGGAGAAACCTCAAACGAAATCGAGTTGCTTCATAATTTTTTCAAAGACAATAAATATGATCATTTACCAGTTGTGTTACTAGGTGCGTTGTAGGCGAAGAGATCCCCTCCCTCCAGAGACACACAAACACTTCCAAAAATTTAATTCAGCAATATAAATTTAAAATAGAAGCAAACAAACAAACAAAAAAGAAAAACAACAACTCCCCCCACCCCCCAAATATACCACCCCTGCCTTAAATTTGGGTTGGATGGAGGTGGCTGTTTGGGTGGAAGAATTCTGTGAAATGGGAATGGGTTATGAAATTAGACAACATTTGCATGGAAATGAAGTCGAACAGCTAAAAGAAAAAATTAGCGACCTTCACAGGAAAACCCTTTCCCTCCCCCTAAAAAGAAAAAAAAGAGAAGAAAAATCCAGCTTGGGAGAACGGTGACAAGCACTGGGAATGTGACCCATCTCATAATAAAAAGTATCCAGAGCCATTTTCTGATATTGCGAAGATTTATTATATCCGCCATACGCGTGCAGCTTGTGTTGTTCACGCGTTTATGTGCGTGTGTGTGTATGTGAGTGTGTGTGTGTGT